ATGTCCGGGTTCGCCCCCCTGGGCTCGGCGACGACCAGCTCCACGTCAGCTCGATCGGCCGCCACTTTTGCCTCGTCGGGAGCCTCATGCTCCGCGGGGGCCTCATGCTCTGCGGGGGCCTCATGCTCTGCGGGAGCCTCGCCATGATCAGCGGGGGCCGCCTCGGCTCTGCGGGGGCGTCTGCCTCGCGGGACCTCTTCCTCATGACAGGCTCCGTGGGCACCGGCTGCTTCAGCTCCATGATCTCGGCATCCTGGCTGAGCTTGCTTCCCCCGTCTGGAGGGCTAAAGATCGTCATCGTCATCGTCGTCTCCTCTCCCTTCATTCCCACTCCCCTCTCTCTCTCTGTATTTCTCTCTAGTTTTTTTCTTCTTTTTTTTTTTTTTCTCTCTCTCTCTCTCTCTCTCTCTCTCTCTCTCTCTCTCTCTCTCTCTCTCTCGCTCTCTCTCTCTCTCGCTCTCTCTCTCTCCTCTCTCTCTCTACTCTCTCTCTCTCTCTCTCTCTCTCGCTCTCTCTCTCTCTCTCTCTCTCTCTCTCTCTCTCTCTCTCTCTCTCTCTCTCTCTCTCTCGCTCTCTCTCTCTCTCTCTCTCTCTCTCTCTCTCTCTCTCTCTCTCTCTCTCTCTCTCTCTCCTCCTCCTCTCTGCACCAGCCGCACTGTGTCGCTCTATCTCGCGCTGGGCACGGTGGTCCCACGCTAACCTACGCTACCTCACGCAAACCGCACTTTGTGATCTCACGCTGACATCACGCTGATCACGCGCTGGTCTCACGCAATCTTTCGCTAACTCACGCGATATCACGCGAATCACGCAATCCCACTTTGTGATCTCACGCTGACCTCAATATATCACGCTTATAACTTGTCATGCGCTGGTCTCACGCTATCTTACGCTACCTCACGAGATCTCACGCTAGCGTCACGCTATCGCACTTTGTGATCTCACGCTGACCTGAAGATGGCACGCTGATCACGCGCTGGTCTCACGCTATCTACGCTACCTCACGCTAGCGTCACACGATCGCACTTTGTGATCTCACGCCTACCTGAAGATGGCACGCTGATCACGCGCTGGTCTCACGCTATCTTACGCTACCTCACGCGATCTGACGCTTGCGTCACGCTATCGCACTTTGTGATCTCACGCGAAGATGGCACGCTGATCACGCGATCTCACGCTAGCGTCACACTATCACACGTTGTGATATCACGCTTACCTGAAGATGTCACTCTGATCACGCGATGGTCTCACGCTATCGTACGCTACCTCACGCTATCGCACGATGCGATATCACGCCATAGCACGCTATACGTTGTTATGCCCATGGTCCTTGGCGCCATCTGGGTCGTTGCGGCTGAGCCGCACGATGTACGAGACGAGGCCGTGGGCGCACGCCCCCTCGTACACCGCTCAGGGCGAGGCGCCACCTTCGACATCACGTTGATGTTCAGCAGTGCTCAGGAGATATGCTTTCGCATGGCGAATCTCCCTCCCCCATCCGCCTCCTGTTCCTGCTCCCCACTCCTCATTTCTTCTCCCCCTCCTCCTCCCCTCATTCCTCCTATACTGGTCATCCTCCTCCTCCGCCTCCTCCTCCTTTCCTGTCCCTGCCCATCTTCCCCCCCCTCCTCCCCCCTCCTCCTCCTCCTTCCTCCTCTTCCTCCCCCCTCCCCCCGCCATCATCCTCGAAACCGTGGCCTGCCAAGTGGCCAGCCCGAGGCGCGGTCGCAGAGGTGGGCCGCCATCGCGTAGGATGTCGGACGCGGGCTGCACCCCAAGGGCGCTTTGGACATCCGTCCACCATCCCACACGCGCGCTCCCTTATCTCCCCTATGACCTCCACCTCTAGAGGTCGAGGTAGGGGTCGACAAGAAGGAAGGGGCGGATGAGGGTTGGTTAGCGGATGTCTTGAGCGCTCCTTTCAACTTCGCGAGCAGCGCTTTCACCGCCTCGAAGTTGCGGGGCACGTCATCCACGCCCACCTGCAGAGGTTGAGGGGGCGCTGCAGAGAAGAGCAGGAGGATGAGGAAGAGGAGGAGGAACAGGAGGAGGGGGAGGAGGAGCAGGAAGAGGAGGCGGGGGCGGAAGAGGAGGAGGAGAAGGCGGAGGTGAGGAGATGGAGGAGGAGAACAAGGGGAGAGGAGGAGAAGGAGGAGAAAGGAGAACGGGAGGAGGAGGAGGGGAAGGAGGATGGGGGGGGGGGGGGGGGTACCTTCGGCTGCCCGCCAGCGTCGTTCTTCCCCACGACGAAGAGCCTCTTGGTCTGCACGCACGCCACAATCGCATCCCCGGAGAAGCCCTCCGCCATCGCGCCGGAGATGGCATCGCGTTGCGCGGTCGGCGCCCGCGGCGGCGGCCCCTCTGGAGTAGCGATCGTGGTGCTCGCAGCCAAGACGGCTGTGGAGGGACCGTGCTCCAGTCCATATCACGCTATTCCACATTGTCTTCACGGTATATCGACCGCAATTGCACCACATCTCACGTTATCATCACGCTATCTTCACACGATCCTCACGTTATTCACGCTATCCTCACGTTATCGAGCGCAGTCGCCGTGCCGTCTTACAATATCTCACGCCATGCGCACGCTATTCACTCTAGCTCACCTCATCCCACGCTATCTCACGCTACCCCCCCCCCCCCCCCCACCCACCCAACCCCACCCACCCCGCACGCTGTCACAGTCGTCGCCGCCCCCATGCTGAAATCCGACGTTATCTCGAGAGCCTCCTCAAGGACATCTTACGCTGTCTCACGCTAAATCGGGGGTCGGCGTGCATTTCGCGCTACATGCATACGCATACCCTTTATGTCACGCATCTCACGCTATCTCACGCTATCTCACGCCATCTCGCTCGGCTGCAGCGGTTGGCACGATCGGATATCACTAATTGGCCGTCCTCGCGAACCCTCCTCGAAGGCGACGTTGGCGACTGCGACGGCGACGACGGGGCGAGGAAACGGAGGAGGAGGCAGGAGACCGAGGATAATGAAAAGAAGGGCGAGGAGGAGGAGGAGGAGGAGGAGGAGGAGGAGGAGGAGGAGGAGGAGGATTGAATGCCCAGAAGTCCTCACTCAAGGACACGATTCTGGGAGCAACCGAACCGCAGGCTCCATGATGCCAGGCTCGACCAGCTGGTACCATACAAACTTCACGTCGGGCCCTTCCGACCACATCATGAGCAGGAAGTCCGCGTCTGCCTTTTCCCACTTGCTGGCGGGGCCCCACGTGGGGACAAACCACAGCTCGGGCAGGCCATGGTTGGCATCGAAATGCCATAGGTTCGGCTGCTTCCTCGGCATCGGGAGCTCGATGCGAGCAGGCCCCCAATCCGGGAATTTGTCCTGGGCACGCGGTGGCAGCGATGGTTGCGCAGGAAGGTGGGGCGCGCGAGTTGCGAGCCCAGGCCGGAGGCGATAGTAGCCAAGCTACAACCCAGATGGGGGATGCGGCTCGCCAGGAACCTCCCCGTCCGTGTACTGCCCGAAGGGCCATAGCAGCTCCTCTTACTGGGGAGTAGGAGGCCCTGGGGAGAGCCAGTCAACCGCCAACATCTTCGGGCCAAAAGCGGCAAAACAAAAGGAAGGATATGAGGAGGAAAAGGAGGGAAAGCTGGAGCACGGAAAATGGAGGAGGGGAACGCATGGGGACGAGGAGGGGGGAAGGAGGAGGGAGGAGGAGGGAGGAGGAGAAGGAAAAGGAGGAGGAAGGAGGAGGGGGGCGCAGAAGGAAGAAGAGGAGGAGGAGGAGGAAGAGGAGGAAAAGGTGCAAGAGGAGCTCGAGGAGGAGGAGGAGGAGGAGGAGGAGGTGGAGGCCGCTGTGGTTGTGCGCTGTTGGCGACGAAAACGGCCAGCAGAGGGAGTGGAGGAGGAGGAGGAGGAAGAAGAAAAGGGGGACGAGGAGGAGGAGGAGGAGGAGGAGGAGGAGGACAAGCGCGGGTTCGGAAGCGGTAGTGGCATTCCGCGCCACGCAGGAAGGCGAGCGCCAGGGTCGACCCTGGCGGCGGATCCCCCGCGGGCAGGGGAAGGAGGAGGAGAAGGAAATGGAGGAGAAGGAAAAGGAGGAAAAGGACGGAGAGGAGGAGAAGGAGGAGGACGGAGGACGGAGGAAAAGGAGGAGAAGGAGGAGGACGGAAGAAGGGGGAATGAGAAGGAGGAGGAAGAGGAGGAGGAGGAGGAGGGCGGACGGAGGATGTTCCACCTCTTCCTCCCTTTTCCTCCCCTCCCCTCCTTGCCTTTTTCTTCCTTGCCCTTCCCCTCGCCCTCCTTGCCCTTCCGTGCCCTTCCCCTTCCCGCTCCTTGCCCTTCCCCCTCCTTGCCGTTTTGGCAGTTCCGTCAAGTATATTTGCTCATTTCGTCGAGCAGGCGGCAGCGGCGACGTCCGTCCCCGCTGCACCGAGAGTCAGCCACAGTTTTGGTGGCATCGCGAAGAAGATGGCACCTGCATTCCTGCACGCGCGCCGCCGTCCGCACTGCTTGCCGCTGGCAAGCGACATGTACACAGGGCGCTCTGCAGCGCGCGGCCTCTTCTTTTCCTCTCGGGTTCGCATGGCGGCCTCGGGCCATTTCGGCACACCCCTCACGAGGATCGTGGCCCCCTAGGTCTTCCGCACGCAATCAAAGAAAGGACAGGGAGGGGAGGTCGTTTCCATGGTATTTTTCCCAGGTCTTCCGGGACCTTAAAGTATGTTGTCCGTGGCATGCTTAAGCCTCAGGCATGTTCAGCACTCGGAGGCCCTCTGGGTACCCCGGACCCGAGTTACCCCGGATAACTCGGGCGCCCAACTTGGAGACCTGGGTACGGCAGGTTCGTGTCGTGCCGACCCCAGCGTTGGTTTTTGACACCGCAGGGATCATTCAACCTTGAACGATCGGCCGCTGCCGCAACGTCCGATCGTTCAACATCGATCGATTTTGGGTCGCCGGCGGCGTTCAACCTTGAACGCCCGCGCTGGGGTCGCCGCTGGTCGACACGACACGAACCTACCGTATCCAACTTCCTGGCAAGAGCCGGGGCAATGGCCCCACGGAGGCGGCGCCGGCAGAGGAGCAGCCGCCGGCCGTCAGTGTGCTCCCGCCGCGGCGCAGCCGCTCGGGAGGTCGTGCGGGCCAGCCTCTGCGCGCCCCAAAGCAGGCTCCACTTGGAGAACAGGTTCTGTTTCGTTCGTCGGCAGCCTGAGCAAAACAGGGCTAGGATCGGGATAAATCATTCCATCGCGTTCCGGAGCGCTCTCAGAGCGTTCCGGAACGCTCTGGAGCGGCCGCGGCGCCCAATACATCCTCCAAACCCGCCGATTCTCAGAGGTTTCGAGTTATCCCGATGCGGTTTTGTCCCGATCTTCGCGTCGTTTTACTGAGTTCGCCTGCTCTTTGTCCCACGGGTGCCCCCGACCACCACTTACTGCGCCCCCCCTTCGGGCCTGGGCAACCGACAAAGCCGAATCATCCAGGAAAGGGGGCGGCGAGAGGGCCCGCTGACCCAGGCGACCACCGGACCCTGAACAAAAACATGATCTCATGTTCCACGCACTGGTATCATGCGTTGCGTGGTCACACACACTCACACACACACACACTTTCGCAAAATGTCAGGAGTCAACTCTTGTGGACAAGCGCGTTCAAGTACGCCCGAAGTAACCACTCGCGAATGGCCTGGGTCCGCCGCGGGGGACTTACGATTAAATGCGTAGAGAAAGACATGTGTTTTTGTTTCCAGACGTTTGCGAGTAGGCACTCTGCGAGTAGTGGAACGCGCTCCGTGATCTTGGAGTCGAAAGTGACTACGGTAAATCAAATAGCATCCGATTCCATGGGAAGCGGATGGCAAATAGCGCCCGGTATCGTACTGAGGTTGTTCAGTAAGAGGAATGGACGTATAAGACAGGATAAGATTGATGTAATGATCTTTCCAGCGCATAGCGAACACTCGCGGTGTCCGGGCAAATAGGGCGCGCGTGCCTTGAGCCAAAGGCAACGGCGCGCGAGCTATACTCCCGATTCTATATAACATCTCCCAAAGAGCTACCCATAAAGTCGGGAGGGGAGGGGACGGAGAGTATAGCCGCGCAGCCGTTAGGCTCTACAAAGGCCGCGCGCGCAACTGTTTGCAAGAAAACGGTGCGTACAGACTGGCCTAACACCAGACTGTAAGGCGAGTTCCCTCGCAAGGCACTTCACGCAAATACGGGACAGCCCCTTGAATGGTAAAGGGCTATCGGCCCGGCTAGAGGTAAGCCAAACGGGCCATACCCCACCGAGCAAACGGGTATTCAGGCAAAGAGCCTGAATCGCATTGAACAGGCTCGTTACCAAGCGTGGAATGTAAGGCTCGTTTCCGAGCAACTAGAAGGGCGCCTCCGTAGTAGGCGCCCATGCTGGCAAATTGGACCGCGGGGGCAACAAGGACAGACTAAAATTGATTAGACTTAGGCTTGTTTCTGTCCTCGGGACCCCGAAAGGGAACAAACTGCTTCACGTCATACTCAAATGACTGGTTGCCTGACATCACTTCCAAAAGTAGCTCCCGATCGAGGCTCCCCTTTGTACGCCCATCTGCGGTCATATCTCTAGTATCGCACCACTGCACATTATGCACTATACCTATATCCATGAGCTCACGTATCCAGCTAATATGTCCAAGCAAGGTCCGTTCCGTCGGTATATTAGAGAGAGCGTGATCCACCGCCGCTTTACTGTGGAAAATTGCCAACCTTTTCCTCCGGAACCCGGGGGTCGCCCCCCCCCCCCCCTCCGAAATCCCCCCCCCTGCTTGGAACCCTCCCCCCCCCCCCCCCCCTCTCCCCCGGCAAAACCCCCCTCCCCTAACCCTCCCCCCCCCCCCCCCCCTCCCGCTCGGGAAACCGGGGGGGGGTCACTAAAAGGAGGACTACCGTTTCGAACGCCCTCCCCCCCCCCCCCCCCTTCGATCCGGAAACCGGGGGGTCACTACGTTTCGAACCCCCCCCCCCCACCCCCCCCCCCCCCCCCCCCCCTTCCCCTTTCCCCCCCCCCCCTACTCACCGCCAGCAAACGACTCCCGGTCCCCACCACCGTCCGCATCACATCCCCCACTGGTGTTCCCAGCACCACTGTCCTCACCACCGCTGTCCCCACTGGTTCCACCACCGCCCCTACTGTCCCCACCAGTGGCCCCACCACTGTCGCACTGTCCCCGCTGTCCCCAGAACTGTTCCCACCACGGTTCCACTCTCCCCACTGTCTCCACGGCCCCAACCACTGCCCGACTATCCCCACTGTCCCCACTGTCCCACTGACTCCTCCGCTGTCCCACTGAGCTGTCCCACTGTTCCCACCACTGTCCCCACTGTCCCCACCACTGTCCCCACTGTACCTCTGTCCCATTGTCCCACCGCCGTCCTCGCCACCGCCTTCACCACTGTCCCCACCACCATTGTACCCTCCACTGTCCCACTGTTTCCACCTCATTCCCATTGTCCCCACACCACTGTCCCCACCACCACCGTCACCACCACTGTCCACTGTCCCCCCCTGTTCCCACCATTGTCCCCACCACTGTCCCCACCACTACCGTCCCCACCACTGTCCCACTGTCCCACTGTCCCCACCACTGTCCCGCTATCCCCTCACCACTGTCCCACCAACACCGTCCCCACCTCTGTCCGCACCCCCACTGGGTTTTCGAGAGGGGGGGGGGGGGAGGGGTTCGAACCGGTAGTGACCCCCCCCCCTTTTCATGATGAGCAGGGGCGGGGGGGGGGGGGGGGGGGGTTCGAAGGTAGTGACCCCCCCCCCCGGTTTTCCGGAGGGGGGGGGGGGGGGGGGAGGGGTTCGAACCGGTAGTGACCCCCCCCGGTTTTCCGCCAGCAGCGGTAGAACACGCTCTTTCGTATATTAAGATCCTTGCTGGATAGCGATTTATAAACCGTCTCTGCGTCTATGGTAAGGGATACTTTGATAGCCAGGCCCCCAACTTCACGCATATCTCGTAGTTGTCGTGGAGCCAGAGCCCCTGCCTTGAGCTCGTGGAGAGTGATGAGCGTAGGGTAACACTCATCGAGGTTGTGCGCAGCTGCAAGTGCCTCAGCGGCATAGCTGGACCTCACCTGCAGTCGGTGTGATTTGCATAATCCGTCACAGAGGTGAACGACGGATTTGCCTTGAGGCGTGTTTCCTCGCCGTAGTACGTTGGCCCCGCGTATTCTCATCGCCCTCCCCCCCGGTGAGCTTACGATACCCCGAATCAATGTGTATGTCAACTTCATTCGTCGGCTTCATCCGAGGGAAGGCGATGCGTTTCGGGCTGCTGATCAGCTTTCGCGTCACAGCATTCAGTCGTCTGACTTGTAGGTTGGTGGGCTCTTGGATTTTCTGAAGAGAGACCACGTATACCGTGAACCAGACTTGAGTGAGAAGGGCATAGGCGAGGGCTCCTCGCAAGCTGACGAACATGTCGGTGATGAGTTTGGTGGCTTTGGCATCGGCCGCCGCTCCTGTAAGTTCTGGGTGTGTGATAGGACGTAGTTGTTTGATATACTCGTCCTGATCCATGATCACATCCCCTTGGTCATTCTTAGTGTAGCGAACGGCGCAGTTCGTATATGAGTGTTTGTTAAGCTTGCATTTGCCAAACACCTTTTCGACACGTTGTACATAGTCGTCTATATTTGTCTCTAGGCCTGTCATATTAATGTCATCGACATGTTTTGCCGTTAACAAATCTTGGCTGAATTCAAACTCAGGATCATAACTTGTCGGAGTAAGGCCTATAGCTCGTGTGGTCGTACGAAGCTTGAGAGAGAACGCTCTTGGGGCGTCCTTTGTACCCGTTCCTGGCTTGAGGCACCTGAGGCAATGTCGGCTTTCGTCATAGGATGAAAAGCCGGGCAGTGTACGAAGTACCTGGGCACTTCCCGGTGGAAGAGCGAAGCAAACCATGCGAGTTCCCTCGCCGGTGGCATGGGCCAGTTCCTCATAGGTCAAACCCTTGAGGAACGCTTTGTCGATATCCATGGATGCTACGATCCACTCTGGATGGCATGCCGCATGCCGCCTCACTTGCTAGGAGTCTCTGGGACTGCCTTCGAGCGGTTCCCGAGAAGGTTTCCACATCGAAAGCCTCAGTGTCCATAAATCCACGAAGGACAAGTCTGAGACGGATGGTTTTAACGTTCTCGGTACCTACATTCACAAACTTCCACTTATATACAGATCTGGATGTCATGATGTTGGAAGCTTTGGATAAATCATGCATCTCAAAGCACTGGCTATCAAGCCAGATCTTGAGTTCAGTGTACAAAGCTTCACTAACCTCTTTCGGGTGTGCTGCTATGTCGGCTTTGGTGAGTAGGTCGTCTTCCTTGACTACCACAGCACGTTTAGCAGCAGAGGGTACATATACTCTCATCGTTGCGACCATATCAGTGTCGAGCTGTGCAAGTTGAGTCTGATCCAACACTACCTTTGACATTTCTGATGTAAAGCATAACTCAACATAGGGACCATATTCATCACTGTCGAGAGAGTAGTCCTCGTCAGGTGTGGTTGAGCAGAGAGAGACTGGACAGGGCTCTTGTGGTTCAGGCTCGTCTCCGAGCGTTTCCGACAATACGATATCTTCTTCGTCCACAGATGCTGAAAACAAAACACATTGGTCGGGCAGCATAGTTGTTGGGACGCAGTAGATGTAATCGTCGGTAGTCGTCGTGGGATGAAGGTCCATACGTAACTCATCGTACCACTCTTCCAGCATCATGGCTTCGATATTATGTTCCTCGTTATCTTCGTAGATTGTCGACAGACGGCCTCCCTTGGCGATGAAGCACCTGGGGTGTCTGGTGGAGGCCTGTTTCCAAGCGAGTCGTGTTCTCCAGACGTGGTGCCCGGGTGCTGATACTTGGCCAGGTCGTCGTGAAATCCGAAGGAAGGAACATGTGAAGTCAAGCATTGGATGAGTCTGGAATGAGTGCAACCAGTGATTTGAGAAATGTTCAGGCCAGTGCCCACACACTCATAATAGTGGTAGGGTGGGCTATCATCATTGTAGTAGTGGATCAACGTAGACCCGGTGGCGTACTTTACTGCAGGTAGACATGACACACTTTTGGCCAGTCTAACTGCTACCACGTGTTCTAAT